CCTGCTGGCGCAGCAATAGGTGAATGAGAACGAGTGCACGGGCTCTCAAAAGGCCTCAACAAGGTGCCTTCTTCAAAAGGTAGAGAGCAGCACCTTGAGCTGAGAGATCTGGGTCCCGTTCCTAGCGCTGCTACGGAAGACAACAGCAAGGCAACACGAGCGTCCCGTCTGCCTCGCTTATCTTGGAAACAGAAATGAGGCAAGTTCATCCATAGAGCAGCACAGGAACTGAAGGAAGCCCAGGCCCAGGCCCAGTTTGGGTCCTGCCACAGTCCTGTGGGTTGTGTGAGCCCCTGTTCCTGCATCAGTAAGCCTGGTGCACAGTGCAGTTTGCTCTCGAATTACCAAGGCTTGTCCCAACCCTGAGTAGCCTCTTGTGTTAGCAGAACCCTTCTTTTTCCCGGGAGGGCTTTGCTATGGCCCTTAGCACAGACACACATCAATCTAGACCAGTAACTTCCAGGGCAGTACAAGATCTTCTGCACCACTGCAGCAGGAAGGTATACACCCTGAGCAGAAAGATGTGGTTAGCCATGTTAGGCTGAAGTCAAGTAGAAGGCGGGGTAGATTTGCACCTTATAGACTAACCAAGTAGATACATACCTATAAGCCTCTAGGTATACATGCTCATAAATGTAGATATATATAGGTATAGGCTAAACAAAGTAGATATAAGGTTTATACCATGACAGGTTTAATTCTCCTGGACTAGGGACAGGAAACATTGTGCCTGTGTCTGTCCCAGAACAGAAGAGTCCTGGAATTATCATGTACACGCATACCCCCTCCAATCAGGATTTAGTGAGCGGCTGAATACATGGCTGCTTTTCTCCCATTGAGTCTACAAAGCAATCCCAGGACACCTGTTCAGGCCACCTTTGTGGGACATGTTCCAAAACAAACTCTTACCGCTTCTTATCCTGGAAACCTTTTCAGGATTTGTTCCAGGACAACAAAAATGTTTGAATGATTCTACTTTTTCCCCAGGATTGTGATCCAGATGTAGCCACTGCACAAGTGAAAAAATATTGTTAAAGTTCACAACTAACAAATCTGAAGACTGTAGGATGTGGAATCCTAACAGCTCTAGCATCTGTAGCAATCACCACCATGACAATATGTCTCTGAATCTTACTCTGAAGTAGCATACTCAGCCTTTTCAGACTGATAACTCTCTAAGTAAACAATATTTGCAACCCAATCTTATATTGTAAGATTGAAAAAAAAATGTACTGGTCATAAGCTTATATAATTTAATTGGGTATTTCAAGATATTGATGGAAGTTACTCAGCCTAGGAAAGGTAAAAGGTGGTGAGAGTGAGATTCATGACCTACCAACTCAACTTTCATGGCACCTGTGGGATGAATCACTACCCACTGTTAATAAGTATTGATTTAGGTCAGGGCATTACTCACTGCAAGCCCCTTATGTCCACATTGAGCAACTCTCTTCTGGTCAAATTTGGATGGGTGTGGCTTCACACAGTACAAGACCTTCAGTAAAAGCTACAGGAAAAGCATTGGAAAACATTACGCTGCAGAAATCTTTCCAGAAAAACCAACAAATTAAAAAAAAAAGTCAGTTTTCTGAAGTAAAGATATATATTGATGTAACCAGTAACATATTCTATAATTAAACTTCTCATTGCAATTGAGCATACACAACTTTCTCTGATATCTGTCAGCCAGAATTAAAGACATCCAGTGTAGTCCATCATTGGAGGACTGTTTCCACCAATATATTTTCTTGCATTTTACACAGTATAATATTAAATAGGCTGTGTGTGGGGCTTTTACCCCTTTTATTTTGCACATTTAAGAATGTTCTTGTCCAGAAGAAAGATCCTGCAGAATGAATTCACCATAATCAGAACGGCTCATTAAATTACTATGTTCCTAGGCAAAATTTGAAATACATCATGTACTATGGATTAGTGCACTAGCAAAGAGAGCATTCCTAGCTAATGCCCTGTAACAAAAAACAGAGTAAAACAGCAATTTATTTTTCTATGTGAAGTGCAGAAGGATGTTGAAGTAGTATTTTATTCTTAGTGTGTGGGCCAGGAGCGGTCTGAGGCTTTCGGGGGCGCGCGGCGGGCTGTGGCCAGCAGCCCTGGCACGTGGGTCGGGGAATTAGGCACGGACGCGTAGCGGTTGATTAAAGATTATTTTACTTACATCGTAGATGGTCGCGGTGCAGGCAGGAAAAACTTCGCTTAAGTTGCAGTTACAAACGAAAAGAAAACTCGCTCAAATAAGACCCGTAGAAAACTCGAGCCTCTTGAACCCGGACAGAGCTCTGGATACCACGATGAGAGTCCAAAAGGTGACTCTCCACGAAAGCGCGCGTCGAGGGATCAGGCGGCGACAGGGAGAGGCTAGAGGTTGATCAGGCCCCTGTATCCTCCTCTAAGGCAGACACGGGGTTTATTAAGCTCCACAGCGCTTAGAGTTCTCCACGAGATGGATGTGGAGTCCTCCTAAATGAGGTCCTCCCCAGAGATCTCCAACTTGGGCGGAAACCGCTCAAGCCTCTTATATGGCTAGCAAGCCAATCGCTAGCCGCCACGTGGGAATAATTTAGAAACAGCCAATAGCGGGACACAAATTTACATACGGGTGGCGGGAACTCCTTTGCACCGGGGTTTTCTCTGTGCAACTGAGAATTGCACCGTGCAAAGAAAGCTCCTCGTGGCGGGAAATAATTCTGCAGTGCCAAAGCGCGCGCACAATCATACCCTTTGGGTCATGACACTTAGGTATCCAAATTCTCTCTGAAGGAGTATTATTAGGGGACAGGTTCAAGTACCCTATTCCTATTGTACAGTATTTTACTTCATAAATAATTCCACTGAAGTTAAAGAGACTAGTAAGGCACTTCCTTATCAGATTTATGATATCTTAAATCTGACTATAAGAATGAGAAAATCAGTGACTTGGCAGTAACTGGAATACTTCAAGAAGTTTTGTCTATATGCTAGCTTGACCAAGCGTAAGCACATGCCAGTTTGTTTTACCTTAAGAAGGTGGTCTAGGATCCAAAGTGTTGATGTTTCACAGGGTGGTAAGGATTTTCTTCTACACCAAGAGAATCTTGATCACTAAGTAGGTCTTTCCTGGGTTAATCAAGATGCCACATCCAGGTGAGGAGTAGTATCACTGTAAACTCAACAGCTATCCAGCATTCAGGCGATGATTATCTCTGCTCCTGGATGTGTTACATCCTGGGCTTTTAAGAGGCACAGAACATCCAGTGGGGAAGGAGCTGTCTCAGCTGCTAAGGCTATCAAAATCTGTGTGACTGAGTCATCTTGTCTGGCAAAACACTCTGAGGATCAGAGAGTAATTGTACAGCAGCCTCCTGTTTAGGGGAACAGGCACACACACAGTGGTCATAGGCTCAGGCCATCCTAGAAAATTTGCTACTTCTTGTTGGCTTGTATTGTAATCAGGTCCACTCAGAGAAAGGCCTTTTTCTGAACAGAAGTGGAGGACTGAGACTGAGCATTTTCCTGAAGCATGGAATTCTCCCAGGCAGATCCTAAGTCCCTCTGCTCTCTGGAGCTGCTATGGGCCCTTCTCAAGGTCAATGGTAGAATCTTGGGGCTTTTATACATGTGCTTGGGGTAGGAGGGGTACCCTAATTAAAGCACCCAGAGCATGTATTAGTGTCCCTGTGCTGAAAAATGGCAGTGGGGGCACTTTAACTAAAGCTCCTCCGATTTAACTAAAGCTCCTCCCCCACAGTCATTTTTCAGCACAGGGATGCTAACACATGAGACCCTGGAGTACGGCAATTACCATGGCCCAGCAGACTTAACTTAATTGAGTCAACTCCGCACTGAAATTACAGCATGTCAGAGCAGACTTGCTGCACGTGTATAGGCACCCTTGGTGACCTTGAAAAGCCCACTGTGTATCTTAAACATTTAGAAGAAACTTAATACCCGGTAAAACAAGCAACAAACTAAGATCTATTAAAAGTACGCTGACCCCGGAACTCGCTTTGCTCTCTTTACTAGTCGCAGTAGCACATTGAAGGCTCGTGTTCATTTTGTGGTCAATCATGACCCCCAAGTTCCTTTCGTCCGTAGTGCTAGCCAGCATAGCACTGCTGAGCCTATAAGCATGCTGTGGGTTTTCTTCCCAAGGTGAAGAACCTTGCATTTTTCAGTGTAAACACCATCAGGTTCTCATCCGCCCATGAATCACCCTAGAACAGTGGTCACCAACTGACTCAGAGTCTCTTGGAGTCTATCTAAGGCTGGGGTAGAGGGCTGAGCACGTGCGTGTATGCATGCACATACCCCACCCTGAGCCCAGAAGGTCAATCCGTAGGGGAGGGAAGGGACAGGGGCCTGATCAA